CGCAATTACACATTATAAAGCACAATATAATAAACACGAACTACTTTCTATGTTTAAATACTTATTTTAAAGAAATAAACAAACATAAATGCAATTTATTACGATATTTGTTTGATATAATACAATGTATACATTGCATTACAAGAAGTGTTAAATATGTTCATTGTAATAAATAAATATGTTACAAATCTGCTGTGAAATGATTTTTTTTTTTCAACAGATGAATAAAACTACTATTGATATTATGTTGAATTTTGCATACTGCATACATGAAAGTGGGCTTTTAAAAAAAATGCAAGAATGCCAACATCCTAATAAGCTCAGCATGCATGTCAGTCTGTGCATTTATGTGTTAGTTTCCAGGCCAAACAGACGAGTTTAAAGAATCAGTTCAGTCTTATGGATCACAGTAGTTTGTTTTTTATGAGACGTCGCCTGCAGGTTTGTTTACATCCTCCCTATATTCAATGAGCTGGATGCTTCTCTGAGGGCTTTCGGCCTGTCTTTCAATACCGCTTTACTAGAAGAGTCGTGTTTGAGTAGTCTTGACTGTAGAGATGAAAAAAACTGCTGTGATATCAGACAGTTTCTTCCTGTAGTGTGTAGTGTCACTGTGTCATGCTGTTATAAGAAAGTAATCAACGAAAGGGTGGTGTGACGATGCAGACTTACTGTTACCACCAAGTTGATTATTTTCCATTAGTTTGCTAATGATGACCTTTTTTAATGAATGACACATACTTTTTATACTTTTCTAGTTACGTTTAAATTTGTGGAATGCGAGACAAGTTAGTTCCTATCATTTACGCTACAGACCTGCTGAAAAATAACAGTAGAAACCGTAACAGAAATTCTAATGGTTTCCACTATAAACACCATTACAAACCATCAACTAACCATTAAAACCATCACCATTACTATTACTATTGCAGGTCCTTAATGGTATCCACTAGACATAACATGCCACCAATAGAAGGCAAGAAATTACCAGTAGAGACCCACAGGGACCATTAAAACCAATACAATTCCCATTATAAACATTAAAACCATTAAAAATTCTATGAGGGTTTCTCTTGTTTTTTTTTGTTTGTTTGTTTTTTTCAGCAGAGAGAAGCTAGAAGCTAAAGGGGTCCATCTATTAAAAGCTAAAATGTTGATTTATTCCTCCACAACACAGTATTTGACCCTTGAATTTGGAAGTCCGAAGATTTTTTTTTAACCAAACCAACCAACACTGATTTTCATGTTGATGTTTCATCATCAACCAAACCAAACAAAAAGAAAACACAATTCATTGTTGATTCAAAACTTTTTTTTATGCATTGTATTGGGCCAGGGTGAGTGCAGGATGGTTCAACTCCACCCTTTCACTTCCACATGAATAAAACATGACTTTAATAAAAAATAAATAAATAAATAAATAAAAAGGGCAGCATGGTGGCTCAGGGGGTAGCCTTGTCGCCTCACAGCTCCAGGTTCGATCGTGATCTCGGGTTAACGCCTGCATGTGAAGAGCTTCTCCTGTTCTCCCATGGGTTTCCTCTGGGTTCTCCAGTTTCCTCCACCACCTCCTAAAAACATGCCAGTAGGTGGATTGGTGAGTCAGAGTTAGTGAGGAGTGTGTGAAAGCGTGTGAAGAGGTGTATTTCCGCCTCAGGAAGAGGCTTCGGATTCACAGACACCCTGAGCAAGATAAAACGCTTCCTGAAGATGACTGAATACATGAATGATGAATGTACAGTATACAGTATGTCTAAAATAAAACAGGAAACACTGACAACGTCAACTGGGTTATTTGACCACCAGTTCAACTTCTGTTTAATATTTCAAATATTATATTCTGTTTAATATTTTAAAGTTTATCATTTGAATGGTTTTTTTGTTTGTTTGTTTGTTTATTTGTTTGTTTTGGTACTGTAAGATCCAAAAATAGGCTGCTACACAAGAGAAAAGTATTTCGACTCGATTTCGAGCGCACTCATTAATTTTACTCCTGCTACATTTTGCTCCTTCGTTGAAAAACACGGGTCCGTGCTTCCTGCCAAATAGTGATCCCTGCTGCTGGGCGCATGAACGCGTTATCGCGATATTTTGCGCGATCTCTACGCAGCCGCTTTGGAGTTTGAGAATGGTCTCGCGCGGCGCAGCTCGCTCGCGTGGGCACTCGCTCTGTGCGCGCGAGCTTGAATGAGAAGAGCAGCTTGGGTTTGAAAGCATCGCGCGAGACTCGCAAAGCGCGTGTCAAGGTAATCACGCTGTTATTGTTGTTGTTGTTGTTTTTCTGGCGTCTTAAAGCGCGCGCGTGCTGGTTTGAATCCACATTCTACAACCGAATGTTTCACTTTGTGCTAAAGTCGCTTTCTGTTTCCGAGTGCGCTGGTGAGTCACTGTAGCGCGTGGAAGCAAACGCTCGCGGCGTCGCCATGGCTACGAGTGAAACTCGCATCGTGTGCTGCAGTAACTGCGCTGCGCACTTTTTGCGCATACACACATTTTACGACTTTTCTTTTCATTGCTGTATCGATTTATACTCGGACTGAATCTGCGATGGAGAATGATTTCTGTCATCACTGTCGCCAGATTTGTGACTGTTTACAAACAAGTTTGGACACAGGGTTGCCAGATTGGTCAAATTTCCCGTCAGTCTAAATGTTTTAATCACAGTGACCTTGCTTTAACGTGTAATTTACTAAATTAGGAGTTAAACTTTAATCCAATTCGGCATCCATGAACTGAATCATTTGTAATCTTAACGACTCGTGCTGTGTTTTTGATTCATTAACTCTTTTCTTTTTTTAAGTGTGTATCCTAAAAGTAATAAACACTCATGCAGTTGATGCGCATTTGATGTGCAGCCTGGTTTTAGTTTGTTAGCAGAGTTTCTGTTTGTTAGTTTTGCTCATTAACGCTTCATTATTAGCCAGAAATATTAAACTGAATCACTGAAATGATGTGGTAGAAAATGTGCAGTCGTTCTTTCTTCAAGTTAGTGGGGTTATTTATTATTTTAGATGTGTGTGTTGAGGTGAGGTGTCTTCTGGTCGCATTCTCTCTTTCTCATAACATGCTGCAGGAAAAAAAAACATGAATCATACTTGGACTAGTGCCATTCTGAGAAGAGTTTGGCTTGAAAGCAAAACACTTCTTTAAAGCCAGCCAGACTCTTTTTTTTCTTCTTCTTCTTCTTTCTCTGAGTCTCCCCCACTTGTAGTTTCGCTCTTACTCCTTCCCTGAATCTCTCCTTCTCAGAGTGGTGCTCACTTTCTCTGGTCAGACTCTCTGTCTCTCCCTCTCTCCCTCTCTCCCAGATTCTTTCCCTCGCAGTCTCAGAGTCTCTGCCTCTCTCTTTCTTTCGGAGTGTTTTGCTCTCTA